AAGCCTAAACCCTAAATCCAAAACTCTAAACCCTAAACCCTCAACCCTAAACCCTAAACCCTAAACGAACCCCCAACTGAGCCGAGGCTGCTTCGAGAGATGCCAGCAGCCACACTGCGCGCGGACGTTCAAAGCTATACGGCTGCCATCGGCGGCTGGGTAGCAGTCAAGGGACTAAAGGAGGGACCCTTAAAGGGACCCTTGGTGTTATATATGGGCTCTATGAGACTATTTAAGGGGTATATAAGGGTTATATAGGGTATTTGGATTAGGAGTCCCTTCTAGGGGTCCCTCCTGTTGTCCCTTAAAGCAGAGACTTAGTAGGGCTTACAGTAGGGGTTTAGGGCTTAAAGGGGTAAAGGGTTTAGGGTCTATAGGGTTTAGAATCGGCGGCTGGGTAGCAAACCTTAGTAGGGTGTGGGGTTTAGGGTTTAGGGTTTAAGGCTTTAGGGCTGATGGTCTAGGGTTTGGGGCTTAGGATTTAGGGCTTACGGCTTAGGGTCTACCCTTGGGCTTAGGGTGAAGGGTTCAGGATTCTGACTTTGGGGGTTTTGGGGCTTAGGGTTTACAGGTTTAGAGTTTAGTTTAGTAAACCCTAAACCCTAAACCCTAAACCCTAAACCCTAAACCCTAAACCCTAAACCCTAAACCTTCGTAGATCCCGTCATGCTCGGGGACCTTGACCCCTGACAATCCTGAGTGTAAGCCCTCGGCCGTGTAGACCCTACCTGTAGCGGGAAAGACCTACCTTTTCAGGGTTCCGAACTATGGTTTCTCTCTCTATATATATATATATATACATACACATATATTTCCGTAAAAAGGTAGGTCTTTCGGTTACAGGTACACCCTAAACTCCTTAAACCAGAACCCTAAGCCCTAAACCCTAAACTCCCAAGGCCAGAACCCTGAACCCTAAACCCTAAACTCCCTAAGCCAGAACCCTGAAGGCAGCAGTGGTTCATGGCCCTGGGCACTGGAGCTCGTGTGCTCTGCTGTGAAGGCTGTCAACTAGGTTGGTTTTTGGGACAATTTTTATTTTTCCTTATTTGGGTTTATAAGGGTCCCTTGATATAAATATTGTTCAGAGGGTTTAAAGGCCAACCCAATGAGTTTCTTCACACAAACATGGGCGGCGAAGGCTTTATCTTGGGCCTGGAGGCGGGGTCTGTGATACAGGGGCCTAAATAAAATTACCTATTGCACTATTGTGGGGGTTCCTGGTTATATAGTATAGTATACCCAAAAAACCCCATTCTAATTATTAAGGCCCCTACATTAACCCTGAGATGTTGCGGTATCCAAGAATCTAGAATCAGAAGCCTACTGAGCCCCTAAGTTATGGACTAAAGAGTCTTTATAGAGCTTTGCTAATTCACAGTGAAGTTTGTACAGCGACAGCGCCAGTTAAAAAAAAAAAAAAAACGGGGAGGGCTCGATTTCTCAATGTTGAGGCGCACTTTTCTTTTGTAGAGAAAACGTTTCGGGATTTGAGGCCACCCTGAATTTCTTAACCCAAATCTCTTAATTTGCAAGGGCTCCAAAATTAGCCACAAAGAATCCCAAGAACTCAGAGGGAGACTGGGAGATGTGAGCCCGCAGCAGCTTCCATTCTAGTCATGCGCTAAACCCTACACCCTAAGCCCTAAACCCTAAACCCTAACCCCCTAAACCCTCAACCCTTAAACCCTAAACCCTAAACCCTAAACCCTGCGCTAGGCAGAGGTGCTTCCCGATGTGGTCTGCTTCAGTGCCCTCATCTCCTCCTGTGAGAAAGGCGGGCACTGTATGCAGAGCTTCGTAGTGGGCCCGAAGAAGCGCCTACGGGTTAGGGTTTAGGGTTTTGGGTTTAGGGTTTAGGGTTTAGGGTTAGGGTTTAAGGTTTAGGGTTTAGGGTGTACGGGTTTAGAGGCGTAAGGGCTTGGGAACAAGGTGTTGCTGCAGCCAGAGGTTGTGGTCGCCGGGTGTGTTCAACATCCAGGGGCAGCACACAGCCATTATCCGAAACCGACCCCACCCCGACACCCAAACCCTAAACCCTAAA